CAACAGCAGCAACATCAACAGCAACAGCAACAGCGACAGCAACAGCAGCAGCGACAGCAACAGCAACAACAACATCTACAACAACAGAATCATATACATATGCCTACGAGAACACACCCGTGCGCAAGTTTTGCGATTCAGGCAGAGCCAGGCGACCGGTCACAAAGTTAGCGCCGATTTTCCGGCGATGCATACCACAGGATCAACAGCAGTGCGGTTCAGGGTTGGGCGGAAATGCAATAGTAGTTCGATATATATATATATATATACATATATATTAGTGCAAAAATAGCAGCACGGAGATGTTCAAGCAAGCAAAGAACTCAGCTTGGCATTGCATGATTCAAGCTCAGTCGACTGCGGGAGACAAACAGCTTGAAGGCATTGGTTATAAGCTGCTTATGTGCAGGGCAGTCTTTATTGGGGCATCGACACTGAGTAAGCCTAGACTCCGAATCTTTGGACTTGAGGGATCGGGCTTTCAGCCGCAGGTGTCAAAATGAAAGCTCAAAAGCCTCAAAAGCTCATAACATGAAAATAGCATACGACCCCATCAACAAAGGCAACTGCAAAGCTAAGGATCCTCGGACGACTGCGCTGACCCGGCGCTTCACGCCAGGCCAGGGCGCAGATATGAACAAGCCGTGGGCCCAGGGTTTCGAAGTCGGGGTTTAAGCCTTTCAGGCAAATTCTAAAACCCAGCTGTGAAGGGATATCCTAACGCCCCTACAACATTAACGGAGAGTTCCGTTGGGCTGCTCTTGTCCTAACTCCGCCTGTAGACTCGAAAATGAAACCCGAAATCCCGCAACCTCTCGGCAATCCCACGAGTATCAGTGATTCAGCCGTCGCTCTCCCTCTCCAAAGGGGATTGAGAGACTGTCTTCGCGTGCGGCCTGGTACGTAGGGTCCGGGTACAGGGCTTTAGGATGAAGGGTTTACAGGGTGCGGGGGGAAGCGTTTGAACCGAAGTCCCACTCACGTTGCCTATACTCACAGAACTGTGCAAATTCTAGGCTCGGTTTCCACACTGGAACACTGTCTGAGGTCGACAGGCGTTTCTGGTCCGCCCTTTCGAGTGGGGGGTTAGCGCTTCAGGTCCGCAATTCGAACCGACTTTCCGGGGACCTTAAATCAAAAATCCGAAGGCTTAAACCCTGAAATACTTCCCTGTTTAAATTTAGCGGAGCAGCGGGACTTACAGCCTAAACCTAAACCCGCAAACCAAACGACACCTGAAGAGAAGAGCACTAGCACTGGTAGAACGGGGGCCCACAGGCGGTCTGGAGCTCTGGAGGTTTTTGCACCTTAAAGCGTTTGTTGGCTGCACAGGGTTCTGAAAGACTATAGGAGATGTTGGAGAGCTTGTTTCGGGCTGCGGACATCTACGGCTATGTTTCGTCCTTGGCTGTACACCAAGCCTGATTGCAAGACTTCGTGGCATTTCCACCGCTGAAGTCACCATGACATCACATGCATGGTGAGAGCTCAGACTAACCCCGTCAAGTCTAATGAAAGTACACGGGAGCCGTGGGGCTCCGGCTCCGACTCTTGGATTTTGTCAACACTACGGGGGCCGTCAAGGGGACTTGGCTGACATCGGCGCAGACAGAGGTTCTGGGTCTCGCGTTCGGCAAAGAGGGTTAAGGTATCGGTGTGTCACTGCTTCATCCGGACGTGCCCTGATCAAAGAGAGGTCCCTTGAACCAAGACGTCTACAAAAGGAACCCTGAAACTTCGAAACTTGAGTCATAGAGATCCAGGCACAAGCTCTCAAGCTGCTGTGCTTTGCCAGACAGCTCCAACACCCATGCATTCTCGAAAACGTCGAGACCCTTTCCGACAACAATCCCAAACCTGAAACGCCCTTGACACTTGGTTTGAGCATTGCACGAGAAAGGGAATGTGCCTTGGGGAAGTTCAGCACGTCTGCTTCCTCCGCCAGGCGGATCCTGCGGCCGACCCATTGATAGGCAATCTGGGAACTCTGAGGTGTGGAACAACGCCCAACAGCCAAACCAAACAGTCGTAGTGCTTGGTAGCTCCACAAATTCGAGCGAAGGGGGCTAAAGCTCAATCTAACACCCCGGACTGTGGGGGCCTTTCAAAAGTCTGGGGTTAAGAGGTTCGATGGTTCGCAAGACCCAGATGGTGTGAAGCGGTCACGGTCTTGGTTTATCAGCTTGCAGCTTGAGGGGACCATTTGTTGACCAAAGCAGGCCTCAAGTTTAGTGGAGTTTAGGGATAGAAGACTTCGGGTTTAGGGATTCAGGATCTGGAGCTTTGGGCATCGAGAGCTAAGGGACACGAGTCCACGAAGCGTTTAGCAGAGTGGCACTTGCTGTACCTGATAGATTCTGAAAGATTCTACAAGACTCTCTACCTAAATGCCTTCCTAAACGGGGCAGAGGGCCCCGATGTGCCATAGTCGTTCTACTGAAAGCCGTGGGGCTCCGAGAACACGATGTAGACAAACCTCTTAGTGTTCTTCTGCGAGGTTCTTCGCACGTGGCTAAAGCTTCGGCATGTCCCAAAATCCTAAGGCCCGCAGCTCCTAACCCTGAATTTTAAGCCACAGCCCTGAATGCGAGAGTCAATGGCACCGGAAACCAATCGACCCTTGGACAACTGGCGCAGTACCATCAGAAACTCAAAAACGATGGACGCGATCTTCTACAAGCTGCACATCACAGTCCTCATGCGCTCTTGCAGCTCCGAAACGCTCATGCTGTAGTACTGGAACCTGGAAGGTGAGACCGTCTGTGGGGCTTTGGGTCAACGCATTGTGGGCTGAGGGTCTGAGGTGCACGAATTTTGGAACTGGGCTGCGGAGCATTGCATGAAGCCCCGCAACATCTCTCCGTCGACTTCAGCGTTGTCGGTATGCAGAAATTGCAAAACTTCTTGAGCAGTTCAGGGTCAAAAGGCCCTGAGGTTGAAGCTGCGGAGCGTGAGCGAATATTGATCAACGAAACCGCAACTTGAAATTTTCGGTGCACACATACACCTGCTGCAATTCTGCGTTTGACGATCTGTAGCACCGTGCTTTGCACACAACTACCCGATGAACGTTCTCGGTCAACAAGGCTGCGACGACGACACCGCTGCCAGCAACAACAACAACAACAACAACAACAACAACCACAACCAACAACACCAACCAATAACAACAACAACCAACAACAACAACAACAACAACAACAACAACAACAACATTCATTCGCACGCAGCGGGAGACGATTTCCTGGGGTGAAAAGCTTCCTCGCTTTGCGAGTGTTCGACCTATGTTACTCTAC